AGGGAGTAATTAAGTTTCTGAGGGCCCTAAAGTCTAAAAGCAACTGTACCTCAACCCTAAAACCCTTGAACCCCAAAGGCACCAAGTAGGAAGTCCTGACTGAGAGACAAAAATCTGTGCTACCTCAGCATCTATATGCCCTTACTTAAGGCGCATCGAGGTCCCAAAACCGCCTTACGCTAAGGCCTTGCGTATGCCCTCAACAAACGGAGAAACCATTAATATAGCTATTATATACCCATTATATAGCCCATTATAGGGTAGGGGTCCCCATTAAGGGTCCCTCCTTGTCCCCTTTGATTAATTTGAGGTCCTTGGGGGGTCCAGTGCTTAGGCCCTTCGACTGCACCTAGTGTGTCCCTTGACCAGGACCCCCCAAGTAATTACCCTTCAAAGGGCTCTGATATTTCTCATTAAGAGGTAATTCGGGGCTACAATATGGGGTAGTTGGGGGGTCTAGGGAATGTTTATGGTTTAGGGCAAACGCTACGCCCTAGACATATAGACCGCAATAAACCTAAAACCGTAAGTCCAAAGGGTCTAAGTACAGAGGCATACAATGTCCCACATACCAGCTTACGTGACCGTTTGCCCAAATCCGAGCACCCGATTATTGGGTCCTTTGGACCCTTCCCGCTACTAGACTATAAACCCATCTAAACCCTAAACCCTTATAGAACCCTTAGCCCTTTAAGAACCCCAGACCTTCATGTAGGGAACCCGTATCAAACGTATAGAAACAAGTCCCTACTTAAGCTAGTAAGTCCCATACCCTCCCCGTAAAAATCCCCTTAAGGATCCCTCTAAGGAACCTTACTTACTAAGTCCCATGATCCTCCAAGTATACCCAAAGCCCTCAGGTGCCCTGACCCTTCTGGAACCTCAGGCCCTCACAGAACCCTAAACCCGTATCAAACCGAAACAAAGCCTAATTCCTAAAGCTCGAAAACCCTACGCCCTAAGACCCTAAAACCCTACTTGGCGGATCATGGGACTTAGTAAGTAAGGTTATAAGTACCTTAATTGGGGTTATAAGTAGTTATAAGTATAGTTACCCTAATTATAACCCTAGTTACTAAGTCCCATGATCCTTTAAGTAAGCCCTAAAACCCTAAACCCAAATGCCCCAGGTGCTTGCTGCCTGTATTTGCCTTGGGTCGCGCTCAGGCAGGGCCATGGTTCGGTTTCAATGCCTCTGAAGGTATCCTTTAAGTGAAGGGTTGAAGGAATCAGGTTTTGGAGATTCTTTAAAGGGATCTACAAAGGGTTTTATGAATCTTTAGGGTTTAGGGGTTTTGTGGTTTTGGGGTTGCGGGTCTAGGGGACACTTGGAGGTTCATGGGTAGTCATAGGTGGAGTTATACGTCCCCTAACATGGGTCATAATTATAGACCTTACTTATAACTTATAACTACCCCCCCCCCCTAAACCCTAAACCCTAAACCCTAAACCCTAACCCCCGAACCTGCATGTACGGCTTGAGGAATTCTTTAGGGATCCTCCGCAAGAGCCCGTGCCTTAACTCAGGGATCTTTCAAAGGTGTGAAGGTACCCTAAGGGTTACTATAGGGTTCCTTTAAGGGTTACAAAAAGGGGTTCTATAAGGGATCTAAAAGGGGTTCTACAGTTGAAGGGGATCTAAAGGGGTTCTGCAGTTCAAGGGGATCTAAAGGGGTTCTACAGTTTAAGGGTCCATGTACCCAAACAGTATATACTTCGGGGCCAATGTACCTATATAGGGACTACATTAAGGACAATGTATATACTATTTGGGTACATGGACCCTTAGGGGTATTGGGATGAAGTTTATGAGTGGCGCTTATTTTTTTGTCGTAGCGTTTGGAGTGTAAGTTTGCGCGTCTACGAGTTATGCACTTCCCAGCTCTTGTCAACGAATGCATATGTCAAGGACCACGTTGCCCTCAAGAATTGGGCATCTCCGCATTTGATTAGTACCACGGCTGATGATCTAAATCCTGCATTACCTTAAGGTCCCTAAACTATCGGAATTATGGTATTATAGTCCTTATTATGGGTGATGCAGGATTTATATCAATATCATCAACCGTACAAGGCCTGTTCCGGACACGAACCTGAACCTCCTTAGGGTATGGTAACGAGCTCATCTGCTTAGCCCTAACCCCCTCATGAACCCTAATCCCTTTTAACCCTGATAGCCCTAAACCCTACCCTAAGGCTTCTAACAGGGTCTTGGGCCTTCTGAGGGAGGGAGGGTTTCGGCTTTGGGGGCTAGGGTTTGGGACCTCATTATAAGGGTCCAGGAGCCTTAGGGTAAACCCTACGTCCTAAAACCCTTTAAACCCGGCTCCACCTCATAGGTATTCCGACTGTAGCAGGGAGGAAAAGGGCCCTCAAAAAAAAAAAACCTTTAAAACCGTAACCCCAGTATGATTCCCCAGAGGGTCCAAGTACTCCCTATTATAGGACTTTAGGGCCGTTCTAGGTACCAAAAACCATAAATAGGAACAACTTGGACCCTTAGGATAACTGAAAACTTGCAGCAGTCTGAGGCTTCCTTGGGAAAGGCATTTCGCTGGGAGATCTTCGGTTTCAGGCGTTTACAGCAGAAGCCAAAAAGTTGGAAACCCAATAGCCTAGGCATCTAAGGACTCATATATTAAGGCTTTTGGGCCCAAAGACCATACTATATAAGGCTTTTGGGCTATTTTGATGCCTAGGGCAAGAGTAACGTATAGGGAATCCCAGCACTATTGGGCCTCAATCCGGTTTCCAACTTTTCGGGTTTACTGTAGGGATTTAGGGTTTAAGTAAAGGCCCAGGGGTTCATGGTTTCAGCTGAAGCCCCCAGAGCCAACTTTATGAGAGTCTTGCAGGTTTCAGGCTTTGGAGAAGGCTGCACATAATCCTAGATCCGGCTTTCCGCCACCAAACATGGCCCAAGGAGTACTTGCTAAGAACACCCTGATAAAGTTGGGTTTGGAGGGCCAAATGCCTTCAACAAAATTCCTCGTAGCCATGTTTACAGCTTTCAGGTTTTAGGTCGGAATACAAACGCCATCAAGCATAATCTTCCAAGACCTTCGCATGGTCTTTTGGAGCTCTTCAAGAAACATAGAAACATCTCAAACTTGAAAAAGCCTGTAGCCCTATCGAATTCTAACATCATTAATTCCTATGGCGCCCTGTCAGAAAGACACAAAAAGTCCTATGCAACCCTTCAGAAAATAATCACAAGATCTCGTTCTTATGCAACAGACACCCGGGCCCAAGCCTTATTTTAACTACTAAGGCCCGTGTACTGAGCCCTTGTGGGCATAGGATTATGTAGCGTTTGGAGTCCTTCCAGCCTTGTCCTTTTTCATGGTTCCCCCAAAAGAATAAACAGACCGGCTAGTCGACCTTCTTAAATAATTCCTATTAAGGGATATGGGTATAGGGCTCTGTCTATTAGTTCTAAAAGGACAAGGCTGCTCTGGTCTATGTATTGGTTCTAGTGTGTAGGCCTAGGTAGGACACAAGCCTGCATCCAAAATCTGAACTCTGGAAATCAACAAAAAGAGTCGGCATCAGACCAAAGACAGGAAATCCTCTTGATTCTGGAGGATTACTGGGCACCCAACTCAGCCTGTATTCATTGTCTTCTTTGGAGGTTTGAAGCCCCGTCACCTGTCTAACGGGTCACTTGCAGGGCCAGCGAGTGCATGGTACATATGTATTATATATGTATTATACATATATATATATATATATACATATATATATATATGCACATAGAACTACGTATATGTGTACGTATGTATTGCGTGTATATATGTATGTAGTATTGTATGTAATCTCAGTATACAGTATAGTCATTACACTATCACGTATATATGACTTAGGAACAGCTTTAGGCTCCAGGCTAATCGGAGCTATCTATTCTGGAGTCTCTGGGCAGCTGGCTGCTTAGAAACTTATGTGTGTGGTACCCGCGCTAAGAATTGCTTTACACCACGTTACCAAGTCCCATGTTGCCAGCAGCCTGATTAATCAATAAGAACAAAGGACACAGCTTAGTGCTTCCGAGGCCTTTGTAATGGCCTCTCATGTCCCTTTCACTACTTGGTTAGATTGTAGTTGCAAGTGTGTCCCTCTGGGCATTCATCATTCTTGTACTCCCCCAAATGCCAATCTAGATACGATAACTACTACCCTAAAGCCGATTACCTAGTAGGTGGGTCTTTTGGACCTTAAACCCTCAACCCTAACAATTCGGACATATGGGAGTTTCCGAAAACAGGGGGTACATTATTTGGGGGCCCTTCTAGTAAGGATCCTACTATTTAGGGTACCATATTAAATAGGGTCCCCTATTTTGGGAAACTCCCATATGGTAGGGCTAGAAGCGTAGGAAAGCGGAACGAAAATCCACAGAGCCTGAGGCTACCGGAACAACATTGGATTCCCTAAGGCTGCATGTACCTACCTTAACCCTGAAGCACCTACCTTTTTAAGGACTTAGATAAGGAAATCATAATAGGGAACCCTAAAAAGGTAGGTTCTTCAGGGTTAAGGTACATACCCAAAGGGTCTTAGGCACCTGCTATAGAAGCCTTAAGTTATAGGCACTTAGGTCCCGCAGTATATACTTGAACCTCAACGGGATTCCTCTACAAAGTAGGTACTAAGTAGGTCCTGAACCCCCCTAAACCCTTAAGTGCACAGAGCCTCGACCTTTGGGATTCATCCATGTCCTGTGTGTTTGGCTTGCCATTTCGGGCCCTCGCACGAAGACGCTGGAGTCTGACAAGATGGAGTTCTTGAATCTGAGATGCGAGGCATTCACTTGTAATACGGGTCTTACCATTTCGGGACGAAATTCTGACAGTCTTTTCATATTAATCATACCATCAATGACAACGGCTATCTTTGGCTGTACGCTACCATTGACATGTTCTTCCGACTAAGCTCGCCTGTTGATAGTAGCACTCGCAATCTATGTTCTCTCGTCGCAGAACCATTGTGCCCTTCCTGCCGCGATGCTGCACATCAGGATGCTGTCAGGGGAGGAGGTGGCAAGCATACCTGTAGAGGAGCTGAGCGATGTTAGGTCGTTGAAGCGGCAGCTGAACCAGCAGAAGGGCTGCCCTCCTCGATTCAGGCAAAGGCTCTTCGGTTGCGGCAGTCGCGGCAGTCCTCTAGACGATGATACCAAGCTGGATTTGCCAATGGACCTGGAGCTGGTCCTACTGACATATTCCGTGGCATCCCCTGCCGAAGCGGATGAGCTGGTGAATGCCGCCACGGACGGCTCTGTAGCCGAGGTATCGGCCTTAGATGGGTTGCTGTACCGCACAGGCCTTATCATTTCGTCTAGGGTATTTTTGAGGCTTAGGAAGATTGGGGGTACTGTATCCTGTAGTATACTGATATTCGGACTGTAACGGCATATGGTTGCCCATTCAGACCATTTCAGGCCACTAAAGTACCCTGCGGGCCTACGACTCAACCCGTCACGCCAGAGGTGCTTTCGCGTAAAGGAGTTCAACCAAAATTTCAGCTCAGACCTGCCCCCTCTCTGGAAACACAACAAAATTAGCTCCAAGTCCCCAACACCTTTACAGTAAGGTTCTTGTTCCGTAAGATGCAGGGCCACAGGCTGAGGCCTTGAGGACTCGACATTAGTGCCACAGATTCAACTGGGCATCTTCAACAGGGCTGGTAGACCCGGGACAACATAACAATCGAAACTAGGCATGAAGAGATTTCTAAACCGCTAAACAGCCAGAAACTCCCTAACCTAAACCCTAAACCGCTAAACGCCCCCAAAAATCCAAATGCTACACCCCCAGACCGTAGAACTCCAAGACTGAACTCAGCAGCTTCACGATCGAAGCAATGGAATTTTGGCCCTAAGCCCTAAATCCTATACCCTAAACTCTAAACCCCTGGCCCTAAACTAAATCAAAGCCCGAGGTCCACTCAAAGGGATCGATAAAGGAGGGGTGTGGGACTCAGCAAAACAGGATATACATATCTGAATTGAGACAGTATTTACAGGTAAAGCGTTTAACTATATGACCTTAAACGAACACGTAAATAACCCTATAATCCTTTTTAACCTGGTATACACATATGCACTACCCTAAACCCACAGGGGTTAAGGGTTTGGGGTTGCTGGTACAGTCCCTAAGGGTCCATGTACCCAAATAGTATATACATTGTCCTTAATGTAGTCCCTAACAACGCACATTGGGCCCAAAGTATGTGCTATATAGGTACATGGACCCTTAAACTATAGAACCCTTATGGATCCCTTATAATTATAGAACCCTTATAGTAAAGTAAGCCTTAAGGGAACCCCTCGTTAGGCACATGGACGCTTAGGGAGTGTGACAGGTGGATGCAATTTTGCAGCTGCCAACAATCCCAGATGTGGTCGACAGAGACGGCAGAAGTCCGCTGATGGCCTCAGCTACGCGGAACCTCAGTTCTCCGATGGTTTTGTTACATATAAGAGTTAACACACCGTTGTTTCCATAACATTTGTTGCAACCATGTCCTTGAGAGGTTGTTTTTTACAGCGGACTTTAGTACTTGTTGGAAGTAAGGAACAACATCGACGTTGTACGATTGCTGCTGGAGGCCAATGCCAATACAGAAACCCGCGACCCTGATGGCTGCACTGCCCTCTTTGCCGCTTGCCAGAACGGCCATGTTGAAGTTGCGCAGGTGCTGCTGGAGGGCGGTGCTGACAAAAACTCCAGAAGCTTCGATGGCTTCGTTTTGGGGTACTTAGAAACATTTTTTGTTTGTTTCTTTATCGTTGGTTCCTTTAATCCCTAAGAAACAGCTAAAATTATAATGTTTGCGAGGGGTCTAAGTTCAGTAGAGGCTTCACTTGCCTGATGATGGCTTCGCAGGGCGGCCACGTTGAAATTGCTCGCTTACTGGTGGCAGCCGGTGCCGAGAAGAACGTTCAGAAACACGGTGCCACTGCCCTGTGGGCAGCTTCTCAAAATGGTCATGTGGAAGTTGCCCGCTTGCTTCTTGAAGCCGGTGCCGACAAGAACCTCAGCAGCTGCAATTGTGACCCTAGTGTTTTTTTCTGCCTGTTCTATCTCTTTCGAAACGGAAGTTTATGCTTCTTCTTAGATATGCGTAGTTGTCAAAATTAGGGGCCCCTTTTGGGTACCCTAAATATTAGGTGCCAGGGACCCAAAACGGAACCCTAATTTTGACAACCACCCATATGACATACCAGAAACTCCCTAAACCCTAAACGCTATAGATCCCCTATAGGAACCCTTAAAGGATCCCTTTAAAGGAACCCTAAGGTACCCCTAAATCTTCGATGACAAACCACCCCTTCTTCTAGGACCCAGAGTAGGCCCTTATTCCCTTTTTTAGGGCTCAGGTTCCCTTATAAACCCCTTTAAACCAAAAAGGGCACCCTTTTTATTCCTAGGTTACTCTTGGGTCTAGTTCTTGAAAGCCCAGGAATCTGACCAGCACTGACATGGGCTTCACTTGCTTGATGATGGCTGCTCAGGAAGGGCATCTTTGTCATAGCTGGGTAGCACTTTACATGTCTATGAGTTTCTAGGGGTATATACTTAAACCCAATAAGGAATAAAGATGTAGATTTTTGTTCCTGTCTCAACAATGAACTAGGCATCTTGAGTTTGTGCGACTGCTGCTGGAAACCAATGCCGACAAAGACTACGTGGACTTTGCGAACAAAAGTCGCGTAGTTCTCCATTTCAAAGCTTTACTTTTCAGCGCATACTTTCCTCAAACGTCAATTCGGATATTTGGGAAACAATCCAATGGGTTCCAAATCACAGTACGGTATACATTCGGGGGGAGGCATATATCAGTAAGTAGCCACTGTCTTTTTACCTGGACTCGCTGGATAAGGTGGCATCACTGCGCTCGTGATGGCGTCACGACAGGGCCATGTTGAAGTTGTGCGTTTGCTGTTGGCGGCCGGTGCCGACAAGAACTTGATCATGTCAGATGGGTGTCTAGGATGCCCAGTAGTAGCCTTACTCCCTTTTTGAAATTTTGTAGTCCTAGGTTCCTTATAAAGTTACCCAATACCGAAGAAGGAGCCCTTTTTTGTTCCTAGGCTCCTGGGCATCCTAGGTATACTTCATTGATGGTCGCGGCACAGGAAGGCCGTGCTGCAGTTGTGCGATTGCTGGTGGCAGAGAGTGCCGAACTGAACCTAGGTAGGGCTTTGGGACATTTTCTATTTTCCCTTATTGGGCTTAAGAGGATCTTATTTACCAATATTTTTCAAAAGCTTTGAAAGCCCCACCTAGGAACATAGCCAACAATGTCGGCGTCACTTCCCTTATGATCGCTTCTCACAGGGGCCATGTTGAGGCTACTCGTTTGCTTTTGCAGGCCGGTGCCGCGAAGGACTTAAAAGATATGGATGGCATTACTGCGCTGATGAAGGCTTCTCTCGAAGGCCACAATGAATGTGTGCAGTTGCTGTTGGCTGCCGGGGCCGACACAGACTTAGCCGAAAAGGACGGCTTCACTTCCTTGATGATACTTATTTGAGGTTTAGGGTTTAGGGCATACACTTTACACTTTTTTAGATTATACTACTTTCCGACTGTACAACTCAAAGTGTACACTATTGGGGGGCTTATGACCTCAGCAGCATCTGAGGATCGCTTCTCAGGAAGACCGAGCCGAAGCTGTACGCTTGCTTCTGAACGCCAGCGCGAGCACGAGCTTAACCAACAGGGTGGGTTTAAACGCTCTGAAGATAGCTGCACGACGAGGACACAGCCAAGTTCTGCGGTTGCTGCTGGAAGCCATATGAGCAAAAGGCGTTCCCGATGGGTTTAGGGGTTTGGAGTTGCGAGACTACAGCTCTATCCCAGAGGGTCCAAAGCACCGAAGAAGTAGGTAGTGGAGCATCGGACACGAATAATGGTTAGCTGACGACGGCCTCGCAATCTACTCTGCATCCTAGGCCCTAAGCGTTCTGTCCAGCACCTGCTCGCATAGAAACCTGAATGATTGCTCATGGTAATATTCCACGGTTCCTGATGCTTAGTAACCCTGTTCTAGTAATCTCAGGCCCCTATACCAAAGCCGGAAAGCCTTCAGTCAATCACAGGACCCCAAAACTTTAGACGTTGAAGCTTAACCCTAAACCCCTAAACCCCTGACCCCTAAACCCCTAAACCCTAAACCACCAAAGCCCGAACACCCTAAGCCCCGAAACCCGAAAACCCGAAAAACCGTACTGCTAAGTATGGCATTCAATCCCTAAAACCTGCATCGTGGGCAAAGGTAGTCCCAAAAGGGTACATTATTTCAGCCTCTCTCGGTTGCTCCACCATCTTTCCCCGAGGAAAGAAATTCGGATCTCCATGAGATCCCCATCTTCTACAACTCGCCGATGGCGCGAGCGCTTTAGGGTTCACGGTTTTAGGGTTTAGGGTTCAGGGTTTTGGGGTTTATGTAGGGTTAAGATTTTGGATTTGGGCTTTAGGATTTAGGGTTTAGGGTTCAGGCTTTGGGGTTTAGGGATTGCGGGTTAGCGTTTGGGCTTCAGGGTTTAGGCTGTAGGGTTTAGGGAATGCGCACCATAAAGGGCCTCCGGGCACTTTTTTGGGCTTGCAAGCATCTCAAGATTTGGGGTTTCGTGATGGGAGATCCCTAAACTCTGAACGCTAAACCCTCTAGTTGACCCCAACTATGGTTGATGATATACATCTGCATTGCCCATAATAAGGATAGTCTACGGCCATTAACATACTGCAGGATTTCTATCATCAACCGTATGACTTATAGCCCCAAGCCACTGCTAATAGGAACATGTGATGACTTCGTTAGTGGAGACTTGCGAAGTCATCGCAGGGTTGCTGGTTGAGGGGTTCTGGTTTGAAGTGCAGTCAGGGTAGCTGAATGTTTAGGGTTTCGGAGTTTAGGGTTTAGGGGTTCGAAGAGTTTAGGGTTCAGGATTTTAGGGGTTTAGGGCTTTGGGTTTCAGGGTTTGGGAGTTTGGGGGTTCTGGTTTGAGGTGCAGGGCTTAGGGCGCCGGGCTTGGGGCGTAGGGTTCAGTCAGTCCGCCTGCGCAAATTGTGGGGATAGGAGCAACAAGGGCCATACACTTTAACGAATTCCTTTGAGAGTTCCTTTAAGGGTTCCTTTAACGGAATATGCCCTAGATTATGGACTTGAAGAGGTGTTAAGACATATTCCTCAATCAATTAACCTTGAACCCTAAACCCTGAACCTTGAACCCTAAACCCTAAACCCCAAACCCATTGTTTTTAGAATCTCAAGGCATCCTGCCATGCTAGATGCTGTGCCCTGAAATCCTAAGCCCGGGCCGCGAACCCCAAGTCACTTCCCCCGTCCCAAACCCGATGCGGCCCTTAAAGAGCCCGTATACAAGCCAGATAATGTAGAGTCGTAAAAGACGAAAAGCACCTTTACAATTTCAGACATCTCAAAGACTTAAACCCTAAACCCTAAAGCCCATGCAACACCAGCTTCCACGTTCGTGCATGTCTTGAGCATGGGCCCTTGGGAAAATGCAAACTTAGCACGATTATGTGTCGTTTTGGGATAATTGTTAACTTCCTGTATTTATGGTTTAATATCGAGCACTGCTTGGAACTGATGCTGTGGCTGTTGAAATCGACACCTAGAGTAGAATAGTAAAGTATATTCTCAAGATTTAACATATCTTCTACAGCATTCAAGCGCCCTAAACCCCCAAGCCTGAAGTCCAAACACTACAGCCTTAAACCCTAAACTCTGAGATTGCAGCGTTCCCAGAGGGTCCGAAAACACAAATGCTAGGTCCGTGCCAAATTCCAAAATCTCAAGGTTTCGGTACTTTAGCCCTACTCTTTGGGTACGCAGATCCCGGGAATGGGAAACCCCCGACCCTGGAATCCCCAATCCTGACTTGCCTGTGGCAGGCGACAAAGTGCCTGAGGATCTTTGAGCGCCTCGCCTCTTCAGCTGGGTGGTTGTCAAAATTGTGGCCCCTTTTTGGGGTACCCTAAATATTGGGTGCCGTATTATAATAAGGACCCAATAAGGCACCCTAATGTTGACAACCACCCAGCTGTATGCGGTATGTTAGAAGTGGTTTCGGGGTTAGTGCTTACCTGGACCCCAAAAGTATGTAGAACAATTGCCTTGTTCTAGGTATTGGTCCGTTATTGTTTACCTACTTTTGGGGGTCTAGGTGGGGACTTTGAGCAAAGACGTTTCTGGAAAAGGCTTCGCTTCTAGGCTTACGTTGCTTCGGCAGAGGGAATTCCTGGACTTGGGACCCGATACCCCCAAATCAATGAATTAAACCCCCACCTACCCTGGAAGAATCACCAATCAGTAATCAATCATCCTTGTTCTTTACCTCCAGGGTATGATCATAGGTCACGGGGTTGAAGATATAAATCCTGCATTTCCTTAAGGAACCTAAACTATGAGAATTTTGGTATATCATCAACAGTAGTTCCTTGTCTCGCTATTAAGAGCCCTTCCTCCTCGAAATCCTGAGCTGTTCACTGCGATGGCTCGAAGCCCATTCCGAGGACGTACACCAACATGTGCAGCGTCTCTGTGCAAGAGCAGGCAGGTTCATCGTCCGTTGTTCGCGGAGTTTAGGTGTCTGGACTTGCAGAGTTTTGGGGTTCATAGGTTAGGCGAAACTTATGGGCAACATAAATTTTACCGCTGGCATTCGGAACTAGGGTCCCACTAGGGAGCAGCGTCGGCATATCAGCAGCCGAGTGTTGCCGTACTCACGGAAAGCCTCAGCCCTAAACCTGAAACCGAAAACAGTGAACCGTCAACTTGAATACACCCTAATCCACCTTTTAAACCTCTACTTGCTAAAGCCAAAAAGCCCCTGAGTGCATTCTGAAAGGAATTTCTCGCAACCGACAAGACACCCTCAAAGCACCCGTTGCGGGACTAGGGTTTCACGATGCAAAGCTGTTTTGGGGGGGGCATTTAGGTATAAATGGTTTAGGGCAGGGTGCGTTCAAGACTCCACCTCGTAATCAACGGCATAGGGCTTAGGTTTAGTTTTTTTGCGAAATTAAGTTCAGGGTTCAGGGTCCGGGGAAACTGTGCAGGTTCGTGAAGTAAGGTTGGTGGAGCTCTTGGATCAGCGCTCTTGTTTTGGGTTGAATACAAGTCCAAATAGGTGCCAATGCCAAACAGTTACCAATACTATTCCCTAGGTTTCCAGAATACGAGAAGACTCTACGAATACATGCCACCGAAACCTATTCTAATTATGAAGGTCTCCCCCAACATGTTTTCAGGAGGATGCCCCATCAGGGAGCTGGCCTTCCGGGGGACGAGTGCTGCCCTCCATTCACCATCGCTAGAACCCTGGTCCACAGGTGCTTTCTGTAGGAAGATACGTTCAAACTACACAGTCCTCCGGTTGATGATATAAATCCTGCATGACCCATAATAAGGGACATACAATAATTCCCATAGTTTAGGGTCCTTAAGGTAATGCAGGATTTATATCATCAACCGTCCGACCCACGATGTGTACTCACAAAAGCAGAGCAATCGACTCTGCAAACCAAGTCTCAACCCTGAGGATCACCTTAAGCTTGAAATACACGTTTAATGTAGAAGCTTACATAATTACCCGTCGCATTCCCTAGGGCTCCGTACTAAAAACCGAATCCCTAGAGACTCGAAATTAAACACCACTACATCCCTCCCTGAAGCCACCATGACTGGCCTTTTGTTGTAGGGTCTTAGCGCAAGCCCGCAAAATCTACAGGCCATATATAGGGTGACCAATTCGTCAAATTCTTGGGCCTGTGACTACCTAGAAAGTCCGTATGTGCTTTTGAGTGCGGCTCGAGAGACGATCCCGAAAATGGTTGTTTGGACCTCATTTCAGAATGTTGGCACAGCCTAGAGGAGTATGGCTTAAATGTTTTAAATAATAAAGGGCTCCACATTATGATGTAAGCTGTATTCCTTGATTAAGGTGCATTGGGCTCTCTGGGCATCTAGACCCTCCGATTGACCCTGACATAATGGGCACTTAGAGCCAGAAGCGGGCAGATGACCCGGCCAGGCCAATCGCTGCAACAACCCCTGGGTGCTGAAGTACATCCAGAACATGCCCGACAGGCAGGTCCTTCTTCACCCTACATGCTATCCCAAATGCTATTACGGTATTGGGTTTGTATTAATGCTGGCTGATCATACTGCTGATGGACAAAATCCTGCATGACCCTAAGGACTCTAAGCTATGCGAACTATGGTATATTCCTTACAATGGGCAATGCAGGATTCTGTCCATCAGCAGTATCAAACCCTGAACCATCTTCAACCCATCGGGTCTTAGCGACGAGCGGAGTCGCGGTAGCAGGATCTTCGAAGGTGTCGAAACGGTAAGAACAAAGACAGCACTTTGCGCAAAACCTGAACACTAAATCCCCAAACCCGATTACCTAGACCCCCAAAAGTAGGTAAAAGAATGGCCCAAAACCTATAAAAGGCTATTATTCTACATGTTTTTGGGGTCCAGGTACAAACCTTTATACCCTAAACCCTGAATCCCTAAACCCAAGATGCTTCAAGAAGTTGCTTAAAGCCTCACGGCGGACTTTCGAGGCACTCTTTCGCCGCGGCTGAGGCCGAGATTGGCGCCTGCGTGGTGCTGGCAGCACCAGGCGGGTATGGTCAAGAAACACTACTTAGAGGATCATGGGACTTAGTAAATAGGTTATAACTGCGGTATAAGTCCCCTAAGTGGGGTTATCCTAATTATAACCTACTTATAACCTTACTTTCTAAGGCTCCAAATAGCCCAAAGTAGGTACCATTTATAGACTTTAGATCCGAAAGTAGGTAGTATTTGTATACTTGGAGTCTTAGGGTATGGGCAGATCATCAGGTGCGCCTAGTAGCCATGATGCTCGTATTATAGGGTCGAGGGCTACGCATGGGCCCCGTATGTTCAGAAACACTTGCTGGCTCGTGGTTATAGTATATAAGTACCTTACTACCGCCCCCCCTCCTTCAAGTAATCAAGCAAGCCCCTGACTGTAAAAGGCTATCAACCTGAACCCTAGCACTGAGCTTCCCCGTACCCATGTATCATGTAGTGCAAGCTTTGGCCCGAAACTATCCATATAGGGACTACTTTATTGGCCTCAGTAATAAGTATATGCACCCCTAGTGGCGCCGTAAACAACCTGACCGCACGTACACCCCCTAAAGAGCTCCCAAAGCCCCACAACAATGTAACATCAAGAACCTCAAATTTTAATGAGACCGGAAGAAACAGAACACCCACCCACCCACACACAGACACACATACAAACACACACACACACACACAAGCACACAGACACACGCGCGTGAATACACACACACACACAACCCAACCACTGACCCTGAAGTCCCTGAGCCCTAAACGCTAAAACCCCCCAAACCCAAAGCTCCACTAAGCCCTGAACCGTCCCACCTTCACCCTTTTCGAAACAAACAAACCCTATAAACCCAATCCCCTGAACCCTGCTGCAAAGCCAAACACAAAAAAACGGAGATCCCTAGACCCCAAAACCCTAAACCCTACCAAATCCTGACCCCTGGACCCTACAAGCCAAACATACAACAAACGGAGATCCCTAAGCCCCTAAACCCCTAACCCCTAAACCCTACAAGCCAAACAAACAACAACTGCCACGAGGCATGCTCCAGAGCGGAGCCTCTCGGGAGTTGTTCGAGTCCTGGGCCCCGGACAAGAAGCGCGGGGCCCCGGCAAAACGGAGTTTTCCTGGGTTCTTCTTAAGGACTTAAGTTTAGCGTTTTGGGTTAAATTAAAAAAAGTTTCGTAGCAAAGCAGTTAAACGCAAGGATTACGACCGGTTTAGGGTTATGTAAGTATATATAAGTTACCATAGTAGGGGGCTCTAGTAAATGATATAGTTTCTGTTTGTGGGTGCCCTGCCAAAGCGGTGTTTCTGCGGGGCTTAGAGTGCTTCGGGATCAGAGAGTTACGGGGCCCTGGCCAAAGGAGCCTTTAGGGGTTTAGAGGGCTTCCCAGAGAGCCCAATACCCCTTAATTAAGAAATATAGCTTAAATCATAATATGAATCTCCTTATAAGGGTTTCGGGCTTCGAGGGTGCCGAGAGTTTAGGGCTTGGAGGGTTTAGGGGTTCTTTTCGGGTGTCCTTTAATGTTCTGTATGGCGTGTCTTCAAGGTCATGTTTGGAGCGTTGTGTTTAGAAGGGGACTGTTTGAGGGCGTTTCCGGAGGGTTTCTGGAGTCTGGAGCACGTTAGAACCCCCAACCGGGACGGCCCTGGAGGGAGCCCGAACAAGCAAAACCTCCCCCAACCCAAGGCCTTAATTAAGCCCAGAAACAGCCCAACACCCAAAAACTTCTAAGCAAAGTCTTGAAAAATTCCGTTAGGCCCCTTATATTATACATCCCTATGATTCTAGACCCCTGATAAATCACCATAAAGCATAAGCCCCAAAACCCCAAAACCCCGAAAGCCCATAGGTTTTGCCTCTAAAGTCGAAGACAAGAACACTAAGCCACTAAGCTCTCAAACCGTAAACTCCTAAACTTCAGGGGCTTTTTAGGGTTTGGGGCTCTATTGGCCTTCACGACTTCGGGGTTTAGGATTTTGGGGCTTTGCGGCTCTGGTGCTCTACGGCCTCAGGGTATTAGGGGTAAGAACAAGTTAAGGGTTCACGGAACAAAGGCCCATGAACCGTTCATGTCGTTGGGGCTGCATCACATGAGTTCATGTTAAGGAACTTAACTGAAGTTATCATAATCAAGACACCTCAGATCCCGTTATGGGTCTTCAAGTTCCTCAAGCCCTAAATCCTAAATCCTCACCCTGAACAAGAACCCAGCCAGGAACGGCGTCATCGTGACCGGCTACTCCGTTCCGGGTACCTTAGCTCACGAGCTCAAAAGCGATCCGGCACCTCGCCAATGTTTGGAAGGGTTTAGGGTTTTGGGTTTTGGGGGCATGGGGTTTAGGGCTCAGGGTTAGGCGCAGGGTTTAGGGGTGTGGGGTTTAGGGTTTGGGGTTGAGGGGTTCAGGGCTCAGGGTTTAGAGTTTACGACGTAGGGTTTAGGGGTTTTGGGTTTGAGGTGGGCCAGTACTTGGACATGGGTAGTTGCAAGTGGAGTTATCAGTAGGTAACAAACCCAGATTGGGGGGACTTACAATTCCAAGTAAGGTGTTCGATGCAACCAAGTTGAGGGTTCAATGAGGAATCAATAATTGCCTTCGGGTTTGGGGTCTAGGGTTTGAGGCTTAGGGTTCAGGGTTTAGGGAGGAGTATACTTAACGTGTTTCTATAAAGGTTTTTGTTCATCAGAATGTTCGGCAACTTCGACGCACGAATCGTGCGATTTGACAGGACCGTTGAGAGGCTGCAGGCTTGTTTGGGTATGTGTTCAGGGCTTGTGATATCGGGGTCTGATCTTGGGACCCAGCTTCATAAGGTGTTTAGGGTTTCGGCGGGTAGAACGGAGAGTATGACGGTTTGGGGGAGTATGGAGTTTGGGACGTGGGGTGCATGTGGGCTTTTGCTTTTGGGGTTCACAATGCTTTGGTGGATTCGGCGCAGGAAATCATGTGGACTTCGCATTCGCCTGGCGGCCTTTTTCAGGGTTCGAGGCTGTATAGGAGTTGAGGACCTGGAAAGGCTGCATTGCAATGAGTACCGGCTGAAGCGGCGGGCTTCTCAGGAGTGAACATCCTTCAGCCGATTTAAGGTGGAGGTCTCGTCTTTCAACACGGGGCTCTTGGAGTTCATCTAGATTCCAGATGGGCTACAAGCGCGCAGCCATATCCCCCGAAACGGTAAGACACCCTAAACCCTAAGCCTGACCGAAACGACGCTTGCCGTCAGGAACATTCCTTCTGTTTAGTGTTTAGGGCCCTTGTCCTGCATAGTGTGTCGGCAAACCATGCGACGTAGTCGCCGGCAACGAGATTGGCAGATTCCAGGATCAACACGATCACATCCCCTGTGCTGGACGTGTATGTGACTAAGCACATGCGCCGTGTCGAAAGTGCCAGTTGCTGTAACAGCAGCAAAACGGGTAGCCGTATTGCAAAAGGGGATAGCAACACCCAGCAGAGTGCTTTTCTGCAGCCCTGAAACATTCTGGTGCACCCCTTTAAGGACCCTAACCAGCCTTATAAATCACTGCACACACCATCAAGCCAGATGAAACATAATGGAAGTCCTATATGAAACCCCATACCATGAGAACCGCACCTGCAGTCGGAAAAAGGCATTCAACAAATATTAAGCCTCTCATAAACCTATCTCATAGGAGGCCTATGGGGGTTTAGTAGGGAGTAGGGTGCCCATCATAGGGTTCATATTAAGGAATCCCTACCCCAAGAATCTTAAACCTCCCTTTTGGCCTCCCATCACTGAATGAAAGATTAGTAGGTAAAGGAACCCTAAAGATCCCTTATAGAACCCTTATGGATCCCTTTAAGGAACCCTAAAGGACCCCTTTGTTGGAGTCCTTAGATGCCTAGGGTTATAAACGTATCGTGTGGGCCCAGTCCAAGGGTAAAGGGAGGGATCCTAAATCAGGACCCCTAGGTATTATACTAATATAGCTATTATATACCCATTATGTAGCCCATCATAGGGTTTTTCCCCTTTGACCCAGAGTTCGACTTCCTCAGCTCCAGGAAGCGGTCACCTTGAATGATGGGCGCAAGGCTAGGGGTTCGGATGAGGGCTGTTAGGGTTTAGAATTCAGGGTTTAGGATCTAGGGTTTAGAATTCTGGGTTTAGGATCTAGGTTTAGGCAAGACCCTGTTTGGAGCCTTAGGGTAAGGCATAGGGGCAAGGGTTTAGGCCAGTGGTACCCATTTCTTCTTTTCGGGTTTCCTAATTGAATCCAAATAGCAGAAATCAGGTTACCCTCCTAAACCATAAGCCATCCAGGGGCTGCTGGGGAACCTAGTTTAATTTACTTAGCCAATGAGAGCTTTAACCTTTAAACTTGTTGGCCTGATGTGTATGGTCCATCTCCAAAGTTCGAACTTTTTTGGGGCTTGGTTCTGGAACAACGGAGTTGACTACTTATAAGTTAGTAAAGGGCGTTTATATTCATGAGGCAGCTTGTTGCCGGGTTGTTGTGGATTTATCAGAAGGTCCGAAGGACGGACCCTGTTCTTCTTGGATGTCTGGTGTAGGGTATTGCAGCTGAGCAACAGTTAACGTAGATATATAAGCCCCTCGTAGTGCCCTTAGTATGGACTCTTACTGTGTGGGGGCAATACCCGCTGGTTTAGGGATGCTCATGGCTTTCATCAGCGGTCTGCTTGAGCTGGTGTCAGTTTCTGCCTAGTGGATCTGGTTAGGGTTTTGCTCCGGTTTAGGGTTAAGGGTAAGCTTCACTTTAACCCCAAGCAACCTACCTTTTTAGTTTTTATGAAAAGAAATCATATTAGAGAAGCCTAAACAAGGTAGCTTCCTCAGGGTCCAGGCACAGCCTAAAAAGATGTTTCTGCGACTTGGGTCTGAAAGGCTGTAGATCGGTGTTGCAGTAATAACTTACCGGGGTACAATTATAACTACTATTACTACCATTCTTCCATTCCCGACTAACCAAAGGGAAGATAAGCCACACACGAACGCCCACGTACCCCAAGATCGGTTTTGGGGGCAGGTGCTAGCGCCGATCCACTGATTCTGTGTTTAGGGTCTAGGGTAATACCTGCTGGGCATTTCTATCGTGAAAATGGAGGTCAATGTCCGCGCGACGGTGAAGTTCATGTCGTTCTCCGCTCACTCGGTGCACGAGCCATGTTTACGGCCTTGCGCTGAAGGCAGTTTTAAAGCCACGTTGCGCCCTGAGCCTGTAGTCCTTCGCAAATGCTTCAGGAAGCTCAACTCAGGTTCAGAAATAAAGGCCATAAGGGATCTGAATTTCGACCTCCAAAGACTCCGATCCGTACTATCAGAATCCCTGCCCAGAGGGGCCAAATACAAGTTAATTCAGGAATTTACCGTGAATTTGCGAAGGCTTCATATGATGGCCTAAGGTGCCGGTTCTTCAAGTAAGGGCGGAGGATGTAGGTTGTTGAGGATGAATCATGTCGCTTAACTTGGAACGTTGGTTGCAAGCCAGGTCCAAAGCAGGTCAGCAGCATAGCCCCCACGAGGTACTTAAAATCTCTACGTCTAAGCTACTTACGATGTCCACTGTGCAAGTAGGGTTTGGCTCTAAGCCCTAAAGCCTAGCCCTTCAGGGCTCTCTCTTCGGTTCCCTGAGGGTCCACGTATTCAAACAGTATATATTTTGGCCTTAAGGTGCTCCCTATATATCAGGCCCAACAAAAGCACCCAAACATAAACATTCAGTATCGGATGCTACATGCAAGCATGCAACGTTTCCGCGCTGTTGGCTGGCAGGCAATTTGGGCTTGGAGAAAATGGTGGGGGGTACCGTCGTGCATAGGTGTAGGTACTTCTTGAGTCATATCGAAATATGTGCGGGCTGCATTGGACTACGTATACTGCTGCTTAGGCATAGCCTGACAATTTGTTTGAAAGTTTTGTGTAATCAAGTCTTCTAGCATATCCTGGAGATGTGCGAATGCTTAAATCCGGATATTTGCATGCCGGGGCAGCGGGACATCCCGACCCAAATCTGGGATATCCCAGACTTTTGCCCGCTCTTGAAGGAAGCGTAGTTTGCGCCATATTTTGCATGCAGGCACATAAACTTTTTTTGGGACGGGTGCGAGCTGCGGGATATCCCGGGCCCAAGTGGGTGATGAACCAATAAAAGGGGTTTTGGCACATTCCTGTGGAGGATTGAGTCGTCAAAATAATATAGGTACATGGGCCCGAAGTATATACTATTTGGGCACATGGACCCTTGGGGGTTCGGTGCCAGGATTACAGCCCTTAAACCCTTATCCCTCCTTAAGCCCCGGATCCCTAAACCCTTTGGTGCCAGGATTACAACCAAACCTCCGAGTTCATCCGCCAGCTGAAGGCCAACGTAGTTGCCGGGAGCCCCGGTCGTTTGTCGGAGGGTTCCTCTTAAGGCAATCTGCGGCTCCCAAAAACCTTACAGGGAACTCTACAGGGAACTCCAGAAAGTTGGAATATGGTTCCAGGGTAGGATACCTTATAATTTACCATAAAGGGCTTAGGATAATCATGTTCCAACTTTCTGGCTTGTACTTTACTGTTTTGGGAGTTTAGAGTTTGGGGCTCCACAAGCCCAAGCGTTGTAGGGGTTTAGGGTTTAGGGTTTGGGGCTCCCAAAACCTATTGTTTAAGGGGTTCTACTCTCTGGCTAATGGGTCATGACGTACCATGCTGTAGAATTTGGGGATGCAGGTTAGGATTCTTTAATGGGTTTGTTCCTTTAGAGGGCTTAGGGTTCTTTCCGGGGGTTGTTGTGCAGTGTTTCAGAAAATGGGGTTCACATCACCTTCGGTCTGGCGGTTCAGCAAGATCCGATGACGAAAGGGCCGCACGTCGTCCCGTAATCTGGCTAAACAAATCTAGGGCTACACTTTAAAACCCTAAACTCCCGAACCCTCAGCCCTCATGTCCAGCCTCAATTCGGCCAGACAGCTCAATGCGACCCCTAAGCCCCCATAAGCCTGCTGTTTCTGAGCCTTATATGAACACGAAACCGGTAAGCTCTAAACCCTGGCAAAGCACGATGTCCCGAAGCCTGCAGGCGAAAAGCCCTAAAGTCTTAATTTCCACGGCAAAGGTACACCTGAAAGAACCTCCTTAATGATGCCCTTGTAGATCCCTTAAAGGAGCCCCCTAAACAGTACCCTTATTCCCTTAATCCCTAGAAGGAGCTAGCTATCTGAGGTTCTCGTGCATGGCGAGGAGCACGAGATGGGTCGGATGCGCAACAAGCTGCGCGAGGCGCGATCCGAAGCTAAGTTTAGGCCTTCAGCCCTTAGGATCCGGCGGTTTCATTAAGCGATCCTTTTGGGGGCTCCTTTAAGGGATCTTTAAGGGTAGTATTAAGAAGGGATCCTTTGCATTTCGGGTTTCGGGGTCTACGATTCCGACTCAGTTCTTTTGGGATACAGGCTTCCAGGACGCGGCTCAGGGATTTAAGAACGGGGGGTCAAAGATTTCAAGATCAAGGGTTCCTTGAACGGTATTATATCTAAGGGCTGCCCCGGAGGGGTCCTGTGTTGTGGGCCTACGGTTTGAAGCTCCAGGGTTCTAAGACTTCGAATTGGTTTCGAGGGCCTGGGGTTTTGGGTTGTCCGCAGATGCTCAGGATCAAAATCCTTTTATTTGTTGCTTCCTACTAAATTCATGGTCCCCAAAGGCTCCATGTACCCTTATAGTAGATACTTAAGCCCCAAAGTAGTCCCTATATAGGTACTCTAAGGCCTAAGTATCTACTATAAGGGTACATGGAGCCTTAGGGGTCTGGGGGCATGGCAAACTTCGGGCTGGAGTTCAGAGTTTAGGTTGGTCTCCCTCAGAACGCATGGACCCTACTTGGAGGTTCAGGGGTAGTTATAAGTGGGGTTGTAAGTAGTGGAACTATAGATATACTAGGGGACTTATGACTACACTTATAACTTCCTATGAACCTCCAAGTAGCCCTACGGGCCCGTATACGGGAACCGAGCCACAAACTTTTATCGTGCTCCTCTGATCCTCAGGGTTAATTTGGGTCTAACATCGGGGCCTGAACGACAAGTACAGTAGTTTCGAGTCGCTGCCAACTCTAAACCCTCAACCCTATACTGTTAAGATAGAATGAGTTAGAAAGGAGTTACACTTTACTATACTTCAACATTCTTGGTCCAAGTCGAGAATGCCCCTACAGGCGAGTTTAGGGTTTAAGGTTTAGGGTTTAAGGTTTAGGGTTTAAGGTTTATAAGGGTTAAAGGTTTAGGGTTTAAGGTTTAAGGTTTAGGGTTTTGGGTTGAGGGTGTTTGGGTTCTGGGTTCTCAGCATTCTCGGTGCCGGAGTGATGCGGGTTCTGATGGGCGCGACGTCTCATTCCTTAACTGAGATCCTGAATCTAACCCCTTTTGTGTGGAGACCCTCGGACTGCAACCCTGACCCCTAAACCCCAAACCCTACTCGTACACTCTCCTTTCTTAGAGGCCCCCAACTACCGTCTGCTATACCATAAATACCAGATTGTTAAGGTTCATAAGAGCTCCAGCAAGTGGTACTTGAGGGTCCAGGTAATTTTAATCTCTACACCAAAACATCTACCCTAAACCCAAAACCTTACACCCTAAGCCTTAGCCTAAGGTTGCGTGTAAGATGCTGGAGAGCTTTGGCGTCTCGAGCCGCCACAGACCCTTAGCAAATTCGGTTTAAAGGCCCATATAGTATATACTTAGGCCGGAAAGGGTTTCCTCATGGTTCCTCTATCTATAGGTACTGCATGGCCTAAATATATATATATATATATATATATATATATATATATATATACTTTATAGGCACCTGGCACCTTAGGGCTGCGTTAAAGGCAGATTCCTCAAAGATTTGTGCTAAACCCCCGAATCTTCAACCCGTGGTTTGCTATCTAGGGTTTAGAATTCTGGGTTTAGGATCTAGGGTTTAGGCTTTAGGGTTTACCTGTAGCCGAAAAGACCTACCTTTTTAAGGATCTATATTTAGAAACCATATTAAGGAATCCTCAAAAGGTAGGTCTTTCCGGCTACAGGTAGGGCTTAGGATCTAGGGTTTAAAGTTTAGATTTTAGGATCTAGGGTTTAGGGTTTACCCTAAAGCTCCTGGACCCTTGTAGTGAGATCCCAAACCCTAGCCCCCAAAGCCGAAACCCTCCGACAGAAGGCCCAAGACCCTGTTTGGAGCCTTAAGGTAGAGCCTCAAGCGAAATAGATAGAAAGTAGGATGTTGGGGGGGGGGCTCCTTATTACCACTATCGTAGAATATACCCCCCAAACCCCTAATCTAATAATTAAGGCACCTGTATAAAAACCCTAATTCCTAAACTAAAACCCTCAACTCTTAACCGTGTTCGCAGCTGGATGCTCAAAGGGACCCGGCCGAGAACCCCCGACCCCCAAAACACATCCGAAACCCCCAGCTTTGCGCCATCCTGAACACCGACCTACTTGGAGGATCATGGGACTTAGTAAGTATGGTTATAAGTACCCTAATTGGGGTTATAAGTAGTTATAAGTATAGTTACCCTAATTATAACCCTAGTTACTAAGTCCCATGATCCTTTAAGTACGACTTTACTTGGAGTGTCGGGGGACTTAGTACCTGGTTATTGTAGGGACTTATAAGTATCATAGCCCCAATTAGGGTCCCTTTTAGGGTTTAGGGACCAAGCCTACTTGGAGAATCATGAGACTTAGTAAGTAAGGTTATGAGTACCTGAATTGGGGTTGCAAGTAGCTTTAAGTATAGTTCCTTTTAATTATAACCCTATACTGACTAAGTCCCATGATCATTTGAGTAGGGTTATACCCAATATCCCAGACCCGCGGGAGGATCCAAAAAGCAGATCCCTTAATGGGGTTTTCTTTAAAGTACCCTTAGTAGTTTAGGGCTGCAAATTAGGGGATCTACTTTCTAGATCCTCCCGGAAGTCTGGGAATAATAGAACCAAAACCTCCTATTCTGTAGGCTTTGGGTCTGCTTGTAGGGATTCGCGAAAATTGAAGAAGCACCGTCCAGACGACCGGCAAGCCTACGTTGCTCCGAACCCGCTGAAGCCTAGCGCCATTCTGTGATATCCACCTGCGTGCTAAGTCCTCGAACCCCAAACCCGAATCCCTGAACCTTAATCCCTAAACCCTAAACCCCTAAACCCCTAAACCCTAAACCCCTTAACCGTAAACCCCTAAACACAAAAAAGCCGAAACCCAAAGTCAGTAAATCCTTGAAGTTGAAGCCATGGCGTCATTGGCCATTCCCCCTGTGCCTCTCTGGAACCCTGCGCGAGAGCGCTTGCGCTCCTTCGCGGTGTTTAGGTTTGTTCGCTTATCCCTTAGGGGTGGGAAAAGTCAGCGTGCCCTGAAGGGGTTACTAGGTATTCAGAGCTCTAATACCGCTTTCGGTTCCGACACGTAGAGTGTGACATGCCCCGGGTTGATAGACTTTTTGTTTGGCACCCCAAAATCAATGCAAAAGAACGTTTCATGGGGCACCATTGAGTATAAAGGGAACCAACCCAAACCCTTGCTTCGAAGGAGACTGTAAGGTAGCAGGGCTGCATCTTGAATACTGCAGGGGCCTTTAAATAGTTAGAATAGGGTTTGGGGGGTTCCTTATCATAACAATGGTATAATATGACCCCCTGCCCAATTCTAGTGATTAAGGCCCCTAGACATACTCTCCAAAATCGTAACCTACGTAACTACTATCCTAAACCCGAGTACCTTTTTTATTGGGTCCTTTGGACCGTTGGGGACCGGCAACTGTTTTTCTCTGATCGTCCAAACAAGTCAGCCGTTGCTTTCCCAACGACCGTTGCTATGCGTGCTCGCCCAGCCCTAAACCCTAAACCCTAAACCCTAAACCCTAAACCCTAGTCGTTTCTGTCAAGACAGAACACAAGCTTACTAGCTGAGTAGGTAACCTGAAACCTTTCGGGGTTTATAGAATCCTACCATGACTGAAAGGTTAACTTTCTAGGATGCCCAGTAGTACCCTTATTCCTTTTTTGTAGTCCTAGGTTCCTCATAAAGTTACCCAATACCAAAAAGAGAGGTTCTTAGGTTACTGGGTATCCTAGCTTTTTTGGGCCAGGGTACTACCACTAAGTATGGGCAAGAAAACCTTTCTCAAACCGCAATCAAGCTCTTCCTCGATCCCCCCGGCTAACTGGTCTCACAGCCCTTGATTGTATAAGGACCGCGCGGCCTCCTTTCTGGGCATATTTCCTTTTTCGACGGGGGGATGGGGGGGGGGGGGGGGCGGGGCAGGGGCGGGGGGGTCAAGCCAGCAGTATTGGTAGAAAGACATTTGGGCAGAAAGCATGATAACAATTCCAAAAGTTGACAAACACAAGCTTGGGGACAACACATGGTAGAGCTCACGAATTACATCAAATGACACAGCCAGATCTTCAACCCGGGACAGAAACCAGAAACCCCAACACCTAAACCCATGGCGAAATACAACACCCTAGGGGTACATAATCTATGGTTGTAGTAACCTGCACCCTAAACCTGAGGCCCTAAACCGTAACCCCTAAACCCCTAAACCCTAAACCCGATAAACCCTGAACCCCTAAACCCCTAAACCGGATGACAGAGAAGCCCAGGCTTCATGCCACTTCTCGAGACTGAGCTCGAGGAATTCCATGGCCAGGATGCTGGGCCAAAGGTGTTTTTTGGGGGTTTGTCATGCTTTAGGGCTGAAGAGTTTGTCGGTTTGGGGCTTTGAGATCAGGGTTTAGAGCTTTGGGCTCGGGCTTTAGGCGCAGAGGTTAGGGTTTTAGGTGTGGGGTTTAGGGCTTATAGGGTTTAGAGTTGAATCTGTTGTTTTGCTGGCTTTGCTTTGCTGAGTACAGAGGCCGGAACAATTAGCTATCATCACTAGCGCTCCAGCTTTTTGGTAATTAGCTTGCGCACTATCATTGTTACAGGTACTACTCGTACTCTTATTGTGGGTATCATTCGTATTACAAGAAATGGCACAGTACAGCGTTTTGACTGGAAACTATGGGGCCCGTAATGTGTTGCACTCTCTAGTATTATTATGCTTGTTATCAGTTTTAGTAGCTGCGATTAGTGTTATCATTACGACTATTGTTGCTACTAGGCTATTATTGCTGTGGTTGTGACTAGTAACATTATCATCACTTTAGAAGCTGCCCCCAACCCTGTAATCGTGATTATAAGGATTATATTCGGGCCCTATTATCTTCCTATTATACCACTACAGGGTGGGAGCAGCTT